GACAAATACATAGGACATAAAAGTTTTACAGGAACAAAGTTTGCGTCGACTAAGGTTAAGTTTATGTTTGCTAAAGTGTTTGAGTTTACTAAAGCTGAAAACTCTGCATTCGAATGAACAATAGGCAAACCAGCAGAGAAAGTGTTGTTTATACGCATGAGTATCTTTTGGTCATAGTAGTTTCTGTCGACATTCGAATAGCACTTTGAACCTAAGTTTGAAACAATATATAAATAGGTGTACTTAAAGTCAATGGAACAGACATTCCTTGTATGACACCTTTTCCTGTTATAGGAAACTGTTGGTAGTAAAAACCAGATATAAGTTTTGTATTATAGCTCATATCGTTTATATAAACTCAGTCGGACATCCAAACATAATGAAACCTGCTCTAGTTGCAGCACATGTTACATCCGTCCTTAAAGTATTAAATAAGTCAACAAAACCTGTTGGTGGTATATCTGAGTAAGTATCTTCAAAGAAGTATTTTTTACCATTCACAACAACAAAGTCTTCTGGTGTCAAAAGAGCAAAACAGGCTTTAGTCGTCATCGTGTTTAAGGTCAGTTTACAATATCGTCCTTGAGGACTTTGTAAGTTTGTTGTTATAGAATTATATGACTCAGGGTTTTTAGTCGTAATAGTATAAACCACTATGTCTTCTGCCATTTACTTAGCAAGTAAATTTTAATGAAATGTTGTGGTCGTCAAATATTTTTATGACGTCTGGGAAACTATATTTTAAGTTCAACGTTTCACCTCCTTTCATAACGTATATCTTGTCAATGACATTATATGAAACACCACAGCAACAATGTCGGGTTCTATTTCTTTGATGTTTATATCGTCTGCCTCTGTCAAAAGTTTCAATAGTTCTTTCAAAATTCATGAGGTGCGATGACATATGAGTTCACTTTTACAGGGTTGTGTTCGACCAAGTTTAACATTATACCCAAAGCTTGACAAATCTTCTCCTGAGTTTTAAGTTTGTCTTTAAGTTGTTGGTAGTCGTTTCGAATATCTGCAACAGAACTTAAGTCTCTGCTAACTTCAGGATATGTTGGTTGTTCTTTTACAGGAACTATTGTTATACCATCTTCGTCTTCGTATGGTTTCCCCACTTCAACATCTCTTTCTTTGACATTGACAACAACACTTTGACTGTTTGTTTGAGTTGGTGAATTTAACTTCACATCTGCCACCGCCATTAAACCTTTTGAAACACTTACGCTTCTATTTTTCGGAAATGACATTTTACTTAGAATAAAAAGATGGACGTATTTGAGTATCTCTTCGAATTGAAGCAAACAAAGTTTACACACACAAACAATACAAATACATTGACAGAATAGTTCTTTATACAAACAATGGAAAATGTTATAGAATAGCAGTCTTTGCTGAACCAAAATATTTTCATAAAGCAAAGAAAGTTGGTATAACTGAAATGGTGAAAGTTCTTGAAGCAGACAAAAATATAACAACAAAACTGACCGATATTTCTAAAGGTAAGTTTATATACAATATTATATCAAAACTGGCGTACTGTCAATATTTGACGGAGAGAAGTCAGTTCAAGAACAACTTACTGACCTGCTGCCAAAATCTGCTCGATGGAAGCTGTCGTTATGCCAATCTGAGGAGCCCCAGCAGGTTTCATCGAACGAATCTTCAAAAGAGCATCTTCCGTGAAAAGTGCTATTGGTTTTGTAAACTTCTTTGCTTTCAATTCATTGGACCGTCTCTGTCACCAGTATATTGTATTTGAACTGTACCAACAGTTGAAATACCACCCATAAAGTCTTCTGAGTCAGCAAATGGAATGCCAAGCCAAAAGTTTGAACGGTCTCCATTTGTATATTGAGTTTTTTGACCTCCTGTATGAGTCCATACTTTCACATATGGCATAATAGAACTTTGCATTTCAGGGTTAATGGTTGTTGTGAAGTTGTTGTTAAAGTTCATAGCATCTAATGTCAAGTTGTATGACCTCATATCCTCAACTGTAGAATATTCTTCTCTTGGATAATATTTGCCATCTATGTTTATATGGTATTTAATACCAGGGTTGTAGAAGCAAGAATAGTCATTTATAGTTCGTCTGAACAGTACAAACATAGTATCTGCATGTTTCATTGCAGTTGTTAAAGCAATATCTGTTCTTGCACCTGGGTCAGCACTTTGGTTTCCAACTTCACCTGCAAAGTCTTTGACAGATATTTGGTGTATAGGGAACATAAGTGGAACTGCAATATATTTGGCAGCTAAAGCATTTGAAATATCTGGGTCCAACATATAGACTGCAAGTCTGCTTTCTATTCTCTTGCATTCAAACTTTTCGCATGTGAACTTAACTGGGTCCCAAGCAGTTCCAGCAGCATTGAAATAATAGTTTACTTCAGTGTTGAGGTTTGAGAAACCAAAGTCTAAGTCAACTTTGTTTTTGCAAAAGTCGGCGAATGACATTTTATTTGCTCCCTTTACGTCTGTAAGAGTGAATGGGTCTTGTGTTGGTGCAATGACTAAGTTATTTTTGCTTGGAGTAAGTTCGATAGAAATTTTTCCTGCCCAGTTTGGCAAGTATCTTAAAAACCTGAAGATGAGGAAAGATGACAAAGGAACTCTAAGTTTCAGTTTTACTTTGGTTACTGCTGCTGCAGTTTGTCCAGAAAGGTTAACATAAACTCCTGGAACGTTAGGGTCAAGTCTTCTTATTTTCTCAATAGTTGCATACTGGTCTGTTTGTTCTCTAGCTTGTGGTTGTACTGAGTTTCTCAAAGCGAACCATTCATAGTTTGCCCATGTTACTGTTTGAACTAAGTCAGAGTTAGAATATATCTTATATCCCATGAAAACTTCTGGAGCATATTGGTATCCGACATAGAAAATTCCATTGCAACCTTTCTTGTCAGACAACTTGGCAGAAGGTTTTATTTCAATGTCTTGTTCCACGTATAAGAAAGAGTTGTCAATAGAAATATATGAAACCTGTCGCAAGCAATATCTACTGTTGTTGAAGAACCTTCTCCAAACTCACCTACGTTTCCATAAGAAACAGCAGTTGTATATTCGTAAGTTCCAGGAACTATTTCTGACCTTCTAATGGCATTGTCGCATTCGTTATACCATTCGGAAACATTTCCATTCATAGCATCCAAAACTGTTGGCGTTATATTCTGAGCGGCGTACATTTCATATGAGTAAAAATATAGAATAGTTGGATTTATATGTCATAATAGAACCCACGTGGACCAAGCTTTACTTTCTTCCTGACTGAGTTTTTAACTCTTCTTTTTCCTTCATTGCCCTCTGCTTGAAGTTGTTGCATCTTTGCATTATGTTCATCTAGTATGTTGCAAATTTCCCATGTCCTTTTTGCCTTTGGCTCTGGTCGCCCATCTCAGGTAACCTATATCCTAGAAAGAGTTTGTCATAGTTTGTATTTGAGTCTTCGCGTATTGTTTGCATGACTCTTTCCTGAGTTTCCGGTTCAAGCTCTTCAAACAGTGCTGTCCATATGGAATAAGCTCGTTTCCAAATATATGTTTTTGTAGCCATTCTGGTTTTCTTTCCATGTTACCATAATATCTTTTGTGAATGGGAAAGCTTTTACCCAATCTTTCAGTCTTGCGTCGTTTATTTCTGTAGTTGGTTTTATTTTGTCAAGGAACATGTTTTTCAATACTAACATTTCATTTGGTACTGTCCATTTGAGTTTTCTTAAATATTCATCCCTTCTCGGTTCATTGTCTGCAAAGTAAGTTTTTATGACATTTTGCAAACTTTCGTTTGCAAGGTCATGTACAATAGGTTCTCTTCCTTCTCTCTCCCTAACTTTCTTTCTAAACTCTTCACCAAATATACCATCTCTATGGTTCTGTGTAGTTCTTTGAGATAAATGTTCTAGAACGTCAGGTGTTATATTTCCATCAGCCATGTTCATTTCATACTGGTCCAAAATATCTGCATGTTTCATATCTTTCAATGGCATTAAAGCCGCGCTGAAAATACCAGCTATATCTGGTTCACCATTCACTTCCATTGCGTCTACAACTTCTTGGAATTGTGGTTGTAAGTTTATGAACCACCTATCCGGATTAGCTTTATGACCCCATCTCATTGTAGTTCCATCGTCTGCAGAAACAAAAGTAGGTTTGTTTCCATATTGGTTAGGTTCTGAATGAACTTTAAACAATGTTTCATTTCTATATGTTTTTGAAATTTAACCTTTTATTTTCACCGAGTTCATCCGAAGATTGAACGTTATAATGCTCGTAAGTAAAAAGGGTTGTTGTATTTGCGTACATTTCTTTCAGTTCTTCCATTCTATGCTGAATATTTTCATCTGATGTTGGAGTCTTTTGTATGTCGGCAAACATTTTTCGATATTCTTCTACTATGTCAGCCGAATTTTTCTTAGACTCTTGGAAAGATTCCATATTCTCCGCATACTCTTGTTGAGGGTCAAGATTTTTCGGCTGTTCCAAATCTTCATCTAGTTCTGTGAAGTTAGTTTCCAAAGGAGGGACTTGTTCGTTTCCTTCAGGCTCTTCTAGCTGTTGTTGCTGAACTATTTCTTCCATGTCTGGTTGTATCTGAACTTCTTCCTGTGGAGTTTCTTGTACCTCATCTGCTGGCATTTCATATATTCCGAGACCGTTTTTAACAAGTTCCCTATCTAAGTCATCCGGACTCATAAACCTTTCTTCTTTCGTTCCGTCTCTATTTTTTACGCGTTTCATGAAGAGAGTTGAATTATCATTTAGCTCTGACACCAAATATCTCGGAGTAAATTCAGTCATGTCATTTGGATGATATGCTATTAAATCATATCCCTTAGCGAGCTTGTATTTTCCAGGTTTGAAATTATATCCCATTTGGTGCTGAGCCATAAAGCTAAATAGGTTCGGGTCAGTATTTCCTTTTGAACTTTCTAATAGCTTCTTTATATCTGTCACTAAAGTCAATACTATCTGGGTAACCATAGTCTTCTTTAAGCATTTTTAAGAATTCTTGGTTTCCTTGTTCTCTACTTCTTTTATGTCCTTGCTCTGTTTGTGGTTGTTGTTGTGCAGGGTTTTGAACTGTTGGTTGCTGTGCTGGTTGTTGTGCAGGGTTTTGAACTGTTGGTTGCTGTGCTGGTTGTTGTGTTGGTTGTTGTGCTGGTTGTTGTTGTTGTTGTGTTGGTTTTGGTGCATGCCTGTGTCTGTGTCCATGTGACGATGTAAATGTTTTAGGTAGTCCTGGTGCAGGTGCTTCTCTTGGAGGGTTTGGTGGTATATAAGTTCCACTAGCTAGTATATAAGTTCCACCAGCTGGTATATAAGTTCCACCAGCTGGCACATATGTTCCATCTGCAGCATAATGTCCTACCTGACTTTTCGTTCTTAAGAAAGCATTTACTAGGTCTTTTTTGGTCTGTTGTAACTCTTTTTCTTGACTTTCCACAACGGTTGCTCTAACGGCGTCATAGGCACTTTGAACTGCCTGTCTCGTTGCTGCATCTGTTATTTTCGTCATATTTTGTGCTACTTCTCTTAACTCGTTGTCGAAACCTTCAGACTTCAGTTTCTTTCCAGATGAGAAGTCGTTCACTTGTTTCACCTTACTATGAAGAGCTTCGAAGGCATTCTTAAAGTCAGCATTCGTTAAAGCTTCATTTGAACTGTCTTCATCCGCTTGTATTTTTGTCCTTATTGACCCTATGAGTTGGGCTGCTTTAGCGTTGGCTTGGGCATCTAACCAGTCATTGTTAGCTTTTATATATTCTGCGCTTTTCATTGCCTTTTGCATAGCCGCGTCGTTATTTTTACTTTCTTGTGCTAAGTTTTCATACTGTACGGTTTGGTTTTGCAACTGTAAAAGTTTTTCTGCCTTTACATTTGCTTCAACTTCTTTTTTATACTCATCGCTATCCATATATGTCTTCAGGGCTTTTTGTTTTATCTCTTCATCTTTCAGTACTTTATATCGAGTAGTATGGTTTTTCAAATTTATGACATCTTGTTCCATTTTTGCTACTTCTGCTGCTTTTTCTGACACTTTTTTCGCATATTCCTCTGTACTTAGTTCTTTCAATTGTTCTTCTTTCTTCTTTTTCTCTACGTTTAACTCATTGAGTTTCTTTGTGTGTCTGTCATATTCTAGTTTCTTTTCGTTTTCACTTATTTGCTTCTGTATATCTATGTTTGACTTTTTGACATCTGTTATTTGATTTTTGAGTGAACTCAAATTCATTTGACTTTGAGGGTTATATGCTGTTCCGTCTGCAGCTCCACCATAGCCTGCCATTTTCGCTAAAAGTGCCGCTCTTAAACCTCCACTCTGTGCACCAACAACTCGGTTTAAAAGCATAGGATTGCTTGACATTTGTTGCAACATAGTGGGGTCATTCATTATTTGTTGTTGCAACTGTTGTTGTGGTGTTAGTCTTACTATTGGATGTTTCAATGCTCTCTTCCTCTTACGTATATTCTTACGTAGCTTACGTGGCATTTTAAGTGAAGTTAAAAAGCGGTTTTTGACAGATGTTTATATGACACTTCTTGTTCAGCACAAAAAACTACTCGGTCAAAGTGTTGTCAGTTTTGTAAAATAACCGTCCTATCTCATTCTATAAGGGAAAAAGGCTTCTCAAAGTATACTTCCTTGGAACGCCTGTAACTTTTCCTGTAGCGACGATAGACCCTTACTTGTCCAGACAAAGTTACACTATTTTGAGTGCTCTACAAAAAAGTCAACGGCGACGACTCTCAAAAACCGTTGTGTAAAAAGTTTTACCGTTGGACAAAAAAGTATATATAGAAAACAAAAAACGTTTATAGTTCATTCAATATTTGAGATGGAACGGTTTTCCAACGGTAACTATTAAATAAAATAAAATTATAGAAGGGGTTACCGTTGACGAAAACGGTTTATTTTAAACTTTTCTATGAGTAGTCCGAAAAAAACAGTTCATTTTTGTCTAATGGCATTCGCTAGCGTGTTCGCTCCAAATTCACCTGAAGAAATTGCTTGCAAACTTTCAGCACCCACAGGTTTAGAGCCTCAATATCAAACTGCAGCATCTACACATTCTCCAAGCAGAACAGACAATTCACTCAATCCAAAGCCACTTTCACTACCAAAAACAATACCAAACGAGCTCCGTATTACAAAGAACCACAGCAACGCTGAACTACGCAAAATACTACTCAGATTGTCTGAAGAATACTTCAATTCAAAGCCAGAAGAAAGAGTTCCTGCAACTTTTAACAAAGAATATTGTGAACAACTCAACAAAGTTCTTGCAGACTTTACCAAACTACAAAAAGAAACACCTGACCCATTCGAATTAGGTGACACAATTGTCAACTATTTTCCAACAATAACAAAGATAATGGTTGACAGAACTATATGTCAGCTTATTGAAAGTCTTCCACCCAAAGCTGCAAAAAAAGTCGAACAGTTTTGGGTCGAATTCAAATTAAAGAGTTATGGATATCAGGATGACGAAGAAGAACGTGAGTACGGACAAGAAACAGCAAAATGGCAATGTCTTAGCTCACTCAACCCCAAGTTCAAACCATTATTTTACTCAGACAACAACACAATTCAAGTACGCAAAATTGCTATTCATTTCGTTAACCAAGCAGAAGACATTGAAGAAGGAGACTCTATCTCAGTTTATGTTTGCTACTGCAAATTTTTCAAGGACGAATTTGGAGGACCAATTCTCATGCATGTCTTCAAGCCACGTCAGCAACTCTACGTTGAAACTGAAATAACACTCATGCATGGAATGTATCTCAAGTTTGAAAGCCAATTGGAAAACACATACAACATTTGGCTTTCATACATTCAGTTCGATACACCAGATGACTTTGATGTTGAAGAAGAAGACTCTACTCAAGAAGATGAACCACAAGACTCAATCCAAGAAGAGTCCTCCGAATTCACACCAGAAGACTAACAATTTTCCGAATAAAAACCTCATTTTTTACTAAACATCTTCGGGGCTAGAAGGGGCGCAGCCCCTGGAAGCCCCACTACCTTTTTTTTTTTTTTTTTTTTTTTTTTTTTTTTTTTTTTTTTTTTTTTTTTTTTTTTTTTTTTTTTTTTTTTTTTTTTTTTTTTTTTTTTTTTTTTTTTTTTTTTTTTTTTTTTTTTTTTTTTTTTTTTTTTTTTTTTTTGGATATGATGTCAAAAGTTAAAACATAACTTAGGATCTTGAGAAAAATGAAAACAAAAATTACATAAAAAAGAAAAATTTTATCTAATTTGTTTTTTTGGACGCGAATAAGTAATTTTATTGAATTTCAATACGACACATAGATTTTATTATTAGTAATAAATATAATGGTTTACTATTAACAAGGAACCTAAACTAATGAAAATTTTGATTTCAAATATTGTATATGATTATCATAGATTACCAAAATATATTGCTATTTATGAGGATATAATATTGATTATTAGTAAATCGTATAAATTTAATAAATATACATGAATATTGAATGAATTTCTTGATTCATAGGGGTAAAACGCGCTTTTATATGATTTAGACAGAGAATTTATGAGATGTAAATAACACAATAAAGGTTTATATTGAATATTTTCTAAAAATAAATCGAAATTATAAAAAAACAATACATTTATTCATTGAAACTACTTGGACAAATATGAAACAAGCATTCAGCAATACTTTTGAGACTTCAACGCATCTGATAATTTTTATATAACTTCACCTCTTATGCTTAGAGTGGAGGTATTGAGATCGTATAAGTATAGATGAGCTCACATTCAGATATGATGTGTGAACTTCTGTTTTCACTGCAATTTTGAATCAGAATAAACTCAAAACAAGAATAAAATGATATACTCACTCTCTAAAATGTGTTCGAGATTTAAAGTTGTATGAATAAAACGATTCATCTTTCGAAGCCTCCCATTTAATGAGAGACTTCGAAAGATGAATGTATTCATGTAGATGAAATACTATATATGACCATGTGTGATACTAAAGATATCAAAATGTTCATTTTTAAGTGCAATAGAAGGGTTATCTCTCGTAAAATCTCAATTTAAGGAAGATTTAGAAAGAACTCCTTTCCTAAGTAGATAGTGTGTGGTTTCTGTCTTTTGGTTGATCAGGAACTATGAAATTAAGTCGGACAGAAAGAAGTTCTTTCCAAAACAGACTCCAAATGAGTTGTTCGAAAAGACTTCCTTCTGTATATGGATAATTGTAGTTACCGCACTGAAGTATGTGATTGTGATGATGGAGTTCTCGATAAATCTAAATCGGATTAAGATTAATTGAAAACTCAAGTAATTCTTTGAAATCTTGTGTTGTCTGGCACTATAATAACCAAAGAATGAGAATATTTGTTGAATGATGAGTACGTGTGCTCGGCATTCGCCGAGCGAATTGAGTTTAACGTACTATGAAAAGTGACAAATTTGGGCTTTTTTTCCTAGGGTTATGATCTCTTCCTTTCTGCTCAATACGACAGAAATGAAAGAATGAATTTGTACTCCCTAATTGATTACTACAATCTGTATCTATCTTTAACATAGAAT